CGGTGACCGGCCCGCTGAGCCGCCACGTGACAACGCTCCGCAGACTTGCGGCTCCTGTGCCCAGGCAGGAGCCAGAAGTGTGCTTTCAGCCAGAACTATTCCAGAGACGCCTGTCCCATGGAGTCACAATGCCACCCCCTTGGTCCCAAGTGGCCAGCTCTTCTTCCCACAGATGGAGGCTGATGCCTGGAACTTGCGCTCACGAGCCCCACACGGGAGGGCCCACGGGAGTGGGGAGACACGCACAGCCTGGTTGTTGTCGGTCCCTCCAGCCACACAGCAGCCCGCCCCGCTCTGCCCTCTCATCTGAGTTCAGGAGGAGAAAGCCCTTGTCGAGGCCCTGGGGTCTGGTGGCCAGGACACTCTGGCCCATGCAGGCTCAAGGCTCTTCCGGCCACACAGCCCCATTCATGGAGGGTCCTGCTGGCAGGCACGGCCCTGGAGGCTGCCCTGTGGCTCGGCCAGGCCGGCGCCTGCAGGGACGGAGGCATGGTCCAGCTGTCCAGGCCTCGCGGCCGGACTCTCCCCTGAGCGTCGAGCAGCAGGTGTCCTGCTTCGCCGGGGGCTGTGGTCCCAGAGCAGGGCATGCAGACCCTGCCATCACCCTCGCTCCCTCTTCCAGGAAGATCTCACAGAGTGCATGCTCAGGTTCCCGTGACATGCTGAGTGCCCACGGGTGCAGGAACCTGCAAAGCCCAGCTCTCTGCCATGAGCTCCCACACCCAGGCAGAGGGGTGTGGCTGTCCCCTCACGGCCCCACCTGGCGCCCACCTGAACGCCGTGCCCTCCCTGGGCCTTGCTGTCCTGGGGTTGGTCTTGGCTGATGGGGCGGCCTGGCAGAAGAGAAGGGGCAGGAGGAGGGAGCTGCAGGACGCAGCCTGCTCTGCAGCCATCTGCCTGCTCTGGGTCTAGGACTTGAACTGAGGTTAAGTACGTGGGAGTCCAGGGACATAGCCATTATATCATCTGCTGTCCCTGAACAGCAGTTTTAAACAGAGATTTCATGACACACAACAAAATAAATGGGAAGTAGAGAGGACGGTATAGTTCCCACGTTTACAAAATGCGTCACATTTTCTTTAGTCCGACTTTATCGTGAGCACTTCGTGAGTGTGTGGACCACAGAGCAAACTCTGAGTGCTCAACTGGAACTCTCTAGAAGGGTGGGAACACTCAGTTACATGGATTTTCTTGGCGAATTTTCTAAGTTAGAAAGAAATCTTCAAGTTCCATCTTTATTAGAAGAATACTTCTGTATTCTCTACTGTCCTGATTTCTGAGGTACACATATAAAATTACTGTTGGCAGCAATCCTGAGTCACTTACCCTCATCAATGTACATACGCGTTTTCATTGGCCAGAACCACTGGGCCGCAGTGGCAGAGCAGGACCGGACTAAATCTACACCCGCCTCAGAGACCGCTGGGCTGAGGCTCTGGGCCAGTGTTCTCCCAGGCTGGCAGTCGACTAAACCACCAGACTGTTTAGCAGCGAGTCCGCGGAGTCTGATCTCAGAGTCTTTATTTGACGATTCTGGGACTCTGGAACGCTAGCACAACTTTTAGGTAACTCACTGAATAGAAATCACTGTATGTGTGCGCACGTGCGTGCGTGTGAGAGACAGTTCATACCCTTAATATTTCTAAAACGGATTCAAAGTAGATATAATAAAAGCACAAGCCACACGTTCCCAGGGTGGTTTTAATAAAGCTAAAAGCAACACCCATAGCCGAAGAGCAAGCTAATCACAGAAGGAGCCAGGGATGAGATAATTACTATAATTGGGCACAATTTAGCTTTTAGTTCTGGAAAATCAAGGCCAAAAGGGGACCATGTTGAATAGC